TAGAAGTTGTGACGGACGCCGATTGGGCGACCGATCGTGAAACAAGGCAGTCAACGAGCTGTGCCTTGATAATGGTGAACTCAAATCTGGTATATTTCCATGCGAGGAAGCAAAAAGCGACAGCTTTAAGTAGCTGTGAGAGCGAACTGGTTGCAGCAGTAGGAGGATTGAGCGAAGGAGTATTCCTGCAAAACTTGTTGCACAGGGTGTTGGGGATTCGGCCCGACCTGCATGTTCACATGGACTCTAGTAGCGCCCGGTCGATTATCATGAAGAAAGGCCTAGGAAGGACGAGGCATATTGATGCTGGGTTGCTCTGGGTTCAGAGGCTTACTGCTGTGGGTTTGCTTGTGAAAGGGATCGCAGGAACAGAAAATCCTGCAGACGTAGGAACAAAAGCACTGTCAAGGAACGCTGCATTGAAGTGTTTGGAGAAAGTTGGCGTTAGGACAGGAGAAGACAGTCAAGAGAGAAAGGTTGTGAATGACCTTAAGATCCCCACGAAGTACTTGAGGAGATTGTTTTTTATGATGATGGTTCAGCAGAGTGAGGGATTAAGCCAAGAGAGAAATGAAAGCAATGGTGCAAGAAGCGTTGGTTTTATGGCGGTGATGATGATGATGATGACTATGGTGATGATCATGTTGTGTGACAGTAGCTTGTGGAAAGGATGCAGAAGAGTATTGGACAACATGTTTCATGCCGCCGCCGTTTTTTTCTCAAGGAAAGAGGAAAAAGAAGTGAAAGAAGTGAAAGGAGAAAAAGAAGTAGAAAAAGAAAAGAAAACGAAAGAAGAAAAATAAAAATAAAAACCGAGTGCCGAAGCAATGAGCGCTGAGCCGACAGAGGCTGAACTGCAGCTCCAAGCAGCAAAGCAGGCGATGGTGGAAGCCTACCAGGCTGAAGTCAAGCGACAAATTTCGGAAGTCGCGGAAAGTATAGCGGCCGTTGAGTACCTCAACATGACCCTGAGGAAGCCCGAGAACGACGAAGAAAGGATTTCTCTTGAAGAAATAGAGAAACGTGTGCTGGAGTTTAACAAAAGAGCTGCAAAGCCTGCAGAGAAGACCGAGGGAGAAGCCCAAAAGGAAATGAATGGAGCTGCGAGAAAGGGAGCTTGCAGAGATGAGAGAGGCGGCGAAAAGCCGTCGGGAGGAGCAGATAGCGCGTGCCTCCCAAGCAGAGGGCAACAAAGAAGAAGAAGAAGAGGAAGAAGAGTCGGAAGAAGAAGAAGAAGTTAAAGGAGATCAAAAGAAAGAAAATCAAGGAGAAGAAGAAGTTGTGAAAGAGGATTCAGAGAAAGAGGAAAGCTCGGAGGAGGATGAAGAAGAGAGCTCTGAAAAGAGCAAAGGCACGAAAAGGAAAAGAGGTGATCTGGAGGAAAGCTCCAGTGATGAGGAAGTGAAGGCTATCATGAAGAAGTTTGAGCCGAAGAAGACCTCAACAGAAGAGGAAGAAGTTCAGAGATTGATGGCTCTGATGAAAGAAGTGCAAGGGAGACTTACGGAGAACCGGAAGGAGTTCTCTATGTACTGCCAGGCGTATACCTACAGGCAGCGCCAAAAGAAAACAACGGAAGAAGAAGTGGAGAGGCTGAATCAGAAAGAGGTCGAAGTTAAAGCCGAGCTGGAGCGTAAAGCAGAAGAGGCCCTGGTTTCCCGAACGAAGTGGCTCAAGCAGATTGACGAGATAAGCGCTGAAGAGGAGACCCATGAGGCCAAGGCCCAAGAAGTCTTCGACCAAGAGACTGAGCTTATCAAAGAGATGGATGAGTTGAGGCGACAGCTGAGCACGGCCCTTAAGGCTTTGAGAGAGTCGAGGGTCGGAAAGAAGCTCGGTGAAGAAGTGCTTGTGGTGCAGCAAGGGAAAGAAGAGAAGAAGAGAATGGAGAAAGAGCTTAAAGAAGTGAAAGAGGTGGCTGCAGCAGAGAAGAGAGAGTTGGAAGAGAAAAATCAAAAGGAGCTCAAGGAGCTCACAGAGCAGAAGGATCAAGAGATGGAAGCTTTGAAAGCAGATATGCAACAGGAAGTTGAAGAGCTGAATGAGCAATTGAAGAAAGCGAAGAGGCGCAAAAGTGTTACAAGTGGATCAGCTGCAGATGCTGAGAAAGAGAAGGAAAGAGACGAAGAAGTAAAGAAGCTCAAGGACGAGCGCAGGCAGATGCGTGAAGCAATCCGCGAGCTAGGAAAAGGAAATAAGAAGTTGGAAGAAGAGATAGAGCAACTGAAGGAACGTGAGCGCGTAGAGGAGGACCCAGAGGCAGCGACCGCAGCGGTCGTTTGCTCTCTTTGCTCAAGATACGGACACTCAGCAGATGTCTGCTGGGACGGTGATTTTAATTACCACAACGGTGCGTATCAGCCGATATGCCAAAGGAAGGGTATGTCGAAAGAAGAGTTTGCTCTTTGGTTCAGAAAGAACGAGCCAACAGTAAGGCGTGCTTACGCGAAGCGGCTGGACGCTTCAAAGAAGAAGTACAGGGAGAACAATCCCAAAGGAAGTGGAAAGAGCAAAGCAGCCAAAGAGACAAAAAGCTGAAGAAGTGAAAAAGGGAAAGAGACCGTCCCCAGGTCTATAAACAACGGGTGAAGTGAAAAGAGGAAGAGACCGTCCCCAGGTCTATAAACAACGGGTGGAAGAGAGAGACCTGCCTCAGGTCTATAAAGAAAGAGGGATCGAAGAGAGAGGGGGAAAAGCCTTCCCCTCAAAAGAGTTCTGCAGCAGAGCTGCCAGGAGCGCAGCACAGCTGCCGAGGAAGTTTCACAACCGATCCAGCTTTATGTTGCATATGCGGCTAGACCGCTATGAGGAAGTGTGTTTCAAGGAAGTTACTTTTGTGGGCTAAAGCCCAGAAGAAGTGAAGCGGAAAGAGGTCTGAGAGGGCTACCGTAGGTGTAGTTACGTCTCACCGTTTCAAACGACAAAGTGCACAACGAGGAGCTAAAAGTGTGGTGTGAGCTTTTGTGTTTGAGTCCGCAGTACCTCATGAAGAGACGAAGAGAAGTGAGGCTACAGCGGAGAGGGGCAACAAACATTACGCTCAGTAGTGTGTGCCCCTCTAACCTTTGTAGTGAGCTGTTACCACGAAGTTTGTATAGAAGGAAACGACTCTTTCACCGTGGTGTTTAGGCTCCAGGGATGCGCCCGAGACCGTCTGTGCTCCCAGAGAAAAGTGAAGCGCGAATAGCTGTGTGCTATAAGAAGGGCTTGGAACGTACCCGTAAAGCGTTTTATCGAAGCTGGGAGACTTGGTTGGGGCTGGATGGAGGGAGGGCTTGGATGGAGGGGCGGGGCGTGGATGCAGGGATGGATGGAGTGAAAATGCGGTTTGGTTCGCGCGTTCAATGTCGCGTGTCGGTTCGCGCGGTTCGCGGTTTTTGCGGTTCACAGGGGCGGGCGGTTCCTGGCGGTTCGGTTCCGGTGTGCGGTTCGGTTCGCGGCCTTCCTGTAAAGGAAAAGGAGAGAAAGGGAAAGGAAAAAGGAAGGAGAAAGGAAAGGCGAAGTCCAAGGGCGATAACAAAGGAGGACGGAGTCCCGATAGGACCAAAGTCGATAATCTCTGCGATGACGTATGATGTCGCTGGTGATGGAGACCCGGTTGAGTCATCGAGTCAATGCCGTGTCGTCTCAACTTTAAACGCATATTGATTCGCTGATTCTGATGGTGATGCGGACGCTACGATATCATTCCCGTCGCTTCCTCAGCTTCCTTGTCCTTGCCTGCTGAGAAGACCCACAAGAGGTACAATGGAAAGCCATGGTGTTTTCCGCGTGTGTCTCTCTTTTTTTTTCACTGACGCACGATGCTGGCGAACCTCAATGACACTGAAGTTCTGAGCACATCCGATGTTAGAAAACCCGCACGATCAAGGGTTGTCCGGCCATCTCCGATAGGGTTTTCCGTTGCAAGCCTCGATCAATATGGTTGCAGTGTACAGCGTGAAGCATCTTCTCACGCGTGAGCTCGCGTCGAGGGGGGTGTGATTTGCTACCGATTCGTGCAAACGTAGACCTGTCTGCTTGTTAGGGTTCACGTCAACTTTGTTTCACTTTGCAGCTTGACTGCTCAAGACGCACCTTGAGTGACGTCCAGGAAAAGGCCCGCTTGCGCGAGGGAATGTAGCTGTTTCCTTTAACTTGTGCAGTTAACCTAACGGAACCAACTCTGGTCGTTTCTCCCGCATTGCTGCTTGCCTTGCCGCTTTGCTCTTGCCATGCTTTTGTGCTAGCCGATAAGCGCCCTGCTTTGTGACCCTCTGCTAAGATGTGCTAAGTGGATTCATCCGCTTTTCTCAATATATATTCTATATGGTTCTATTATTCCATTATATATACTGGTATATCAGTTCTATTACTGTCATTACTGTGATATGCGTGTTCGATCTTCATACAAAGAACCGATGGGCTCACACACGAGATCAAGTGTGCAATTCTGTGAAGAAAATTCGTAGGTTCCCTAATCTCAACACCCGTTGGACTGCGGAACAGTGGTATAATGTTTTTTACATCGATGCACAAAAACATTATACCGCTGTATAGCAGGCTACAGTTTGGGGTGTCGTGAGTACAACAGTGTCGCGCGACAAACCGCCCCTGAGCGCACAGGAGGGGTACCGGAGCCCAAACCCGGCAAGGGACCCAGGGATCGCCCAAATTTTGAAGAGAATGTAGAGGCGATGAATGAGAAATCTTTTGTCGCGACACCCTAGTGTCAGGGCACCTACCTGCACAGATAATCCCTGCGCATGTGGAGCGTCATGCTAAGCTGTTGGGCCCGAGCGTCCAAATCAAAAATCACGGAGACCACAAGTATTCGGAGAACGGAACTCACGGAGCAGAGTGGACAGAGGCGAAGGGAGAATGCAAAGCATTAGTGGAGTATACTTGCCTCCAGGAAGCCATGCGAAACAATTAAATCCAGTGACGATGCAATGCATTTTCGCGGGCCTTGAAAACCCAACGGCTCTATTCACATTCCTCAACCCGAGCAAGCGAACGAGGCCATTGGGTTCGGGATCGATGTCGGCGAGTTCTTGAAAAAGAACGCCGGGAAGGCTGTCAAGACATACAAGAAGCCTGACGATGCTGCCTGGCGAATATTCAGGATTCCGTGATGGTCATGGTGAGGTGACCCAGATGCGAGCCAAGTCTTATGAATCCCTGATATGCTTGCTGCTTAGGGTCGGGGTTGACATACGGACGACCCGAGTTTTTGGCTTCAGGGATTTAGGCTTTGCAGCCTTCAAGGACCTGTTGAACGGGATGCCTCCGGAGCAACGCAGCCGGAACAGCACGAGGCGCTCGCAGGCTCGTCCTGCTCGCCGCGCCGTTTCAATTTTTGGAGGGGTTCACGTTGAGGTCAATGGGAACAGCCAAAGACACGAGGTGGAGTTAAACGGGGAAGAGGGAGTAAAAAGTCAAGGCACTCGAATCGAACCTGCGAAAGTCGTTGGCTCTACTGATGTTAATGCGGGAAGATGCTTGATTTTGACAGCAAGTCACGTGAGGTAGACTTGCGGGCGCAAGAGAGCCCCCAAGCCGACCAAATCATCAATAAAAGGGGTCACTGCTTGTTCAAAGCTTTTCAGCCTTGGGCTTTCGTGAGGTACCTCTCCTTGCGGACCCCCGCCGCAGCGCGAGCTACTCCCAGGCTCTGCCAAGTTCAGTTCAGAACGAAAGCTTTGCCAGTTCACGTAATGTGCTAGAAGCCCAAGGGTGAGACAGAGACAGGGTCCAGGGTATCTGATAAGATTGGTTCACCACACCTCAACCCTCATCAACGCTTCTGCGGCTCTGTGCTGGGAGGAAATGGCCATGATGGGACGGCGGGATTTGGCAGATGCCTGACCTGTAGAGTGATCCAGGGACCTTCGAAGCTTCGGATTGGCCTGAGGATGTGCCGCTGTCAGGAGCTACAGCTACAGTACGTCTCTGCAAACTGAGTGAGCTGTCGCTTTGACCCTGGTTTATCAAAACCCTTCGAAACCAACCTAAGCTACAGTAGCAGCTACAGCTGTACTCCAGAGTTTTCTCATCCAAAAGTGCTTTCGATCCTGAACTGCAAAGGATCGGAATCGGATGACGACAGACCTGGACGCCTCGATTTTCCCAAAGATCCCGGAGCACCGGCCAATATGAGTTCGTCTTTTTTCAGGTTAAAAGTGCCGAAGCTCTGAACGCAAACCCTGCAGCGCGGAGCGACTTCAAAGGAGGGTCTCGACGGTCTCATGGTTCTCTAGAGACTTCTTCTAGCGCTGTCGCCGTCGTCGCCGTGCCCTGAGGGACTGCCCCAGACTGCTCCAGGTTTATGAGAATCCGTATGTGGCGCCAAGTTCGGCCAGCCAGGTCCCGGCCATTTCCATTGCTTTCGACGACACTAGGGTCGGATTAAGTTCAGGATTTGTCTTGTTACATGGTGTCGTTGACGGGCATTCGCACTGCTTGTTATTCAAAGGGTCATCCAATCCCAGGCAGAGTTGGATACGCCGGTGGCGGTGGATCCGCTTCAGGTCTGGCGGGACAGGAAGACCTTCTATGTCACATCTGCCCCTCGGACATAGACCATGCCGTGAGTGCAGTGGGCTTAGGCTTAGGCTGGAGGCTTTGGGGCTCCAAACTCCTCCAGCTGTTGGCCCTGTCGTGCGGAGGCTTCTCCTCTTGCAGAGCCTATGGACTTGCCGATGAAGCGGAGCTGGGGCGTCTTCGCAGGCTCTTAGTTGCCTGAAACCCTCTTCATCCTGCTCTGGGGTTTCAGGTGCTGGGAGTCTTTTAAGGCTTGCTGAATGTTCCGGTTGACGTAGTCGTCATCTGATTTCAGCGTATGTTTGACAAGGAGAGCGATGATGAGTTTGAGTCGCCAAGGATCCGCCCTCACACGCACCTCGCGCCGGAAAACGAGCCATTGCGAAGCATAGACAATGCAACAATTTTCGCTTTCTGCAAGGTGCTGACTGCCCGCCCGGCACGGCCGTCACATCGTACGAGGAGTGCTACCAGGCCTGGGATCACTGAACACGTGAAAAAGGAGTTGATGTTGCAAACATGGCTTTATTTTTCAGAGTTTCGGTGCCTCGCTCGGGGCGCGACTGGGGAGCCGGGGAGCTACGTGCTGCCCATCGGCGCATGTCACGGCTTGGCAGCGAGCCCATGCGCAACTTCAGAGCTGCCAACACACCGGAACTTGACACCAAATCTGTTTGGATCAAGGGAGTTATAAACCACTGGGGCACAGGTTGCCCGAGCGTTACTGTATGCTCCGTGAAAATCCAGTGCAGCGGCCCCTGGCACCATGCCTGCGCGCGACGCCGCTACGCTAGCACCCCACGGAACGGATGCGGGCAAGACATCCCCCGCCTGATGCCTAAGAAAGGCTTCGGCCTCAGGCTCACTCCCAGCGCCCGACTCTGCAGCCTTCTGTTCGGCTTTTCAGCTTTCGCAAGTTGCCTGATTGTCTGGGCACATGCTCGAGCGTTTTCTCGACTCCCGACAGAGCTGTCGTAGCTGCTAGGGAACTTTCGGTTGCCATTTTCACTCCTAACAGCTCTGCTGCGCGCATGGAGTAAGGCAAGTCTCTGCATTTCACAACTGTTCTTGGAGCACCGTTGTCTGGCAACTACCTGCTCATCGAGTACATAGTGCATAGCAGTATGTAGGAGCGGTGCCAGATCTGACATCTCGGCTGACGGTCGCGCTGCGTACACCCGACACTCTGCTTCCAGGCCTTTCGAAAGAAGCGGGTGCTCCCTGAACCGGCCCTAAGCACTTGCTTGAAATGCGAGAAATCCCCGGTAAGGGGTCCCTTGTTGAGAGGCCAACGAGTTCTTGCGGGATTCCAATGGACGCTCGGGAAGCCAAGAGCTGCTGCTGAGACGCCCGGCTTTAAAGCGCTGGTGAAAGTGAAAGCATGTGTTTTTTTTGACAACTTGGACTGTAAGATTCTCTTCTAGAGTCGTTCTGTAAGTCTTGGCCGTTGCCATGGAGAAGAAAGGGCCGTTTCAGAGTCTAGGGCTCCCTGGGATCGAAGAAGTGTTTAGGGCGAAGGGCTAAGGCCCTGAGGCGGCTCAGGGTTTCGGGCAAGTTCAGGGTTTGTAGGGGCTTCAAGCCGTCTAGGCACGACGAAAGAGTACGGCGACTTTGGGAAGCAAGTGCCCTTTGGCTGCTCGATCCAGCGCACGCAAGAAGCCTTCGCGCACTGGAATACAGAAGCCGCTTGCTCGCCATTGAGCACGCCCGGGTCAGTTTTTCCGCCAAACCATCCCTAACCTTTACCCTCCCATACCCAAGTTGTTATAGCCCCCAAACCCCAAAATGCCCTGGAGCCCTGATGGCGAAGTGCAAGCAACAGTCCCACAGGTCTTTACCGACAGCAAACGAGCCATCCTCGACGAGTTTCGCATGGTTTGCAGGAGGCGCATTCGGAGGGCAGAGGGCCGAGATCCCCAAACTGAGCGGCTTCAACGCGGCTTGAACAGGTCCTTCTATGTGGGAGAAGGAGCTCAGAGGACGGACCTTCAGAGACCCGGGCCCTCGCTGAAGCCCATGACTCGCCATGGTCGGTTCCATGGTACCTCCAGCCCTACCGCCATGCAAAAGCCGAAGAGCTCCTCCTAACCCAGCATAGCATGTCTCTGTCGTGCGTCACTCCACTGACGTTGGTGATTGCTGGCCGGTTCAGATGGTGCTTTGTGGACAACTCGCTGACTACGCGTCTGCGGGTGTAACTGTGCGGGCCTCACCACAGCTGAATTCCACCCATCGCACCGCCCAAGTCCCAAGAAGGACGCTGCCGGACGGTATGGATAACATGGCATGGGGAAGAAGCCCAGCCTGCGTGCCGCAGGCGATGCCTTGGAGGCAGCCAAATCCTGGAGAAGGAGAGCTGTGCACCTTTGCCGGATCATGGGAGGAGCAAGAAGCTGATCGGTAGTGCCGAGCTCTGAGGTGCATGCCTATATGCAGCTCCAGAACACTTTCCCGCGGCCGTTGAAGCCACCGCAAAACTACCTTGCTGAAGTCGCTGGCCTATCAAAGAGACCAGGAACCCTGAGACCCACGTACAGTAGTCGGATCAGTTGCTAACCCCGACTGTAAGCTCGCACAATGTCAAACACCCGGAAACCCAAATCCCTAGCCGTGACAGAGCGCAAGACATTCCAGTAGTGCCACTAGTGCAGTGAAGTCGATGAAGGTTGGCCGAGCCCGAGGGCAAGTCCTTGAAGCAATACCAATACAAAACCAGCAGAGCGACAAGAAGCAAAGACTAGGCGTACGAAAACTGAAGCGCGACCGCCTGAGACAGAGACAGTTCCTGCCAGATGTTGAACTTCAGGATCCGGTGTAAAGGGAGAGGTCCTCAGTAGAACAGAATGTCGCCAAAACACTCCAAGGCTCAGGCGCCTAATTATCTTGATGTACCTCCTGGCTGCACCGTCCGATGGGAGACGAGCAGCCGCTACAGGCTCCCGGAAACGGCTTCCTGCCGTATGAGAGTGAGATTCAGATGCCTGTTGTCAGGGACCTTTATTGGTATCCGGGCGGCAAACCACCAGTTCTCCGGCTTTGTTGAAAGCAAAGGGGCACTTTGAAGTCTCCTAGCTCGGAAGATGTGGCGCTCAGCTCAGGCCCAAAATTTGGTTTCCTGCAGTCAGGAGCAGTATTGCATCTCATCGGGATGGGGAGGAGGATATGACTGTTTCTCTGGGCCGATGGAGTATGCAAGCAGCTGCGACCAGTGCCCTATGGAGTCGAGAGACCTGGCTAATTCAGCGGGGTGGGAGATTCTTCGTGCTGGAGCGCAGCTTCGGGACGAAGAACGGAGAGATGTGTGGCAGGCCGACGCCGCCCCTACCCTTGCAGCGGGTACGACTGCAAGAGGCGGCACGGACAGTGCGTGCCGAAGGCAACTTGGCGGTTTCTTGGGCCCCTGCCCTGGGCCCCTCTGGGATAGTCGGATGATCTCAGCCTCTCCCCCTGCCTTTCTGCGTCGACTCGTCCGAGTCTGCAGAGTCCGAGGATTGGGATGGACCCGACACTTGGCGACACAGAAAGGCACAGTGATCAAAGTGAGTTATCAAAGTGCAGCTTTAGGAGAGTTTTAACAGAAGTCCCACACCGAAACTCCGCGGGCCGCCCGGATGCGTGCCGCGGGCACAATCAAGTACGTGACGGACTGGTCGAAACATGGTACCCCGAGGTCGAAAGCACCAAGCCGACGCAACATATTCAGAAATATGAGCCGAACGCAAAAGCAAACTGTAGGATACACATATATCAGGGGCGACCAACAGAGAACACGGAGCGCTCAGTCCAACAGACCCTGGACCTGCACCTAAGACCCAGGACACCACACGCCACCTTTGCAAGAAGCAGGGTTTCTGGACCGAAAGGCCTGGGTCTCTTCGCTGCTCGGGGCATCTCGGGTTGAAAGGTTCTGGACAGGAGACTTCGGGTCCTGCGGGTTTTGAGCGTTATGCTGATGCCCGGAACATGCCGGCTTAGCCCAATGATGCCCAATGCTTGGCGTTGCTTGGCGCCTTTTGCAACATCGTTCGGAAGCGTCTTTGCTGCCAGCCAGATCCCGTTTTGGAGCTTTGGTTCATGTAGGCGTCGGAAAGCCTTTCTCGAGTTCTTTTGTTTGGCAGCTGTATGTTCGCTCCGCGTCCAGAGCTTTGAACGCGATTTGCATAACTTTGTATTCGCTGATACTTGGGTAAGCGACAAATGACACACATTGAACGTGTTCGTGCATCTTTGGAGGGTGTTGGTGAAACTTCGGCTGCAATTGCTAGGGACACAGGGCACGAGGCTGCAAGTGTTTGGATGGTTTCCTGCGACGGTCGCAGGGAAGGCGCTCGCACATGCCCGTATGGCTCCATCATCAAGACCTTTGAGGACTGGTCAGGGGTCAGGGCTGGGCGGGCTTCGAGGGCGGAGCTGTCACAGGGCTTGGGCTTGGGGTTAAAGGGTTGGGATTACTGAAGTAGGTGTGCGCATCCTTGGCCACAACTGGGCAGCACGGTGGTTGTGAGCGTAGTGTAGGTGGCTATAGGCCCGACTAGGCACAGCCAGCTAAGCCTGAAATCCTAAGCCCCGAGCCCGCCCCTTTCAAACTGACCCAAAGCAACACTGAGAAAGACGAAGACAATGATCGAGAGCCTACTAAAAGGGCACTAGCGAGGCCCCTGGGTTCGCCGAACAGCCCGACAGTGTTGGTAAGGCTTCGGCTGAAAAACGTGTCTAGAGCTCTGGCGCACTCGAGTTGAGCTCAGGTTCTCAACCCCAAACCCCAGAACTCGAGATCAGTGGTGTTCCCATGTGAGAGAAGCCCCGCAAAATCGCAACACCGAGGAGTGCCGAAATGCATACGAAGCTTTGAAAGACCGCTGCCTGTTTTGCAATTTCTGTCCAGGTATAAAGCCTTTAGCAGCCCTGACATGCTTGTAGGTGTCGGCACACATACGAAAGAGCCCCTTTGCGATGGCAAACCCGAAATCATTAGGTTCTGGGAGCAAGAATCATAGCTGAGGTTTTCAAGACTTCCCTGCTGGAGGCCCGGTTCTCAGGTCGGCAGGCCTGGCTGCGAAAAAACTTCTCACTTCAACAAAGACTGGAATCAGCGTTGCAGCTGTTTTTATCTGGTTTGCAGGCGGAGCCTTCGTTCGAAGCGTCACGGCAACTGAGGCCTGAGAAGAGCTACTTCAAGTGAACGAAACGAATATCCTCCTGGATGCTCCATTGAGACACCTTTCTGCACTCATTTGTGGGGCCTACAGCAGCCTGCACTCCGCAACACTCTCAGGGCAAAGGGCGATCTCCAGTAGCTTGTGCCAGGCTGCATAGGACCTTAGAACCTCCCAGTCCCAGCTGTGACAAGGACGTACACATACAACACGCCGGTCTTCAACGATGCTGGGCATTGTGTCGATTTGAGAGTCTGATCGGCTGAGCTGTCACTGTCCAGCCGGCCCGATTCCGATTGCCGCGGAGTCTTCCAAGGAGAACTTCAAGTCGCCCGGCACACGGGCACTGCTGCCAAAGACGGGCAGCAACATCCCGGCAGTTCCTGTGTGCAGCCCGGCAAAGTGAAGAAGCTTTTGGAACTAAGGGCCCCGCCCCGCGGATGAAGAAAATGAAAAAGTCTCCGAGAGATGCACCGTGCAATCGCTCGCCGTCGGCGACTCGCAGTCCGAGAGTCGGCAGCTTAGCTTCCCAGGCAAGCAGCCGAACTGGTGGGTTGGGGAGGAGCAGGGCAGGTGCCCGACAGGCAGGGACCGGACAAAATCGAATCAAAGCTGTTGCGGCTTCTGCAATGCTGACAACTTGAGACTTAGACCGTACTTGGCAACTGGTAGCTGAGACCAAGGCGGCGTAGGAAGCCTTAATGGCACTACGCCGTTTTCACAGAAGTGCCCAAGAGCAGTTCCGTGGGAGGCACTCAAATCTTCGACGCTGTCGAGTGCAAGAGGGCCCACCAGGCTCCGAGACGTGCCACCTGCAACTCCGTGACTCCGCGCCACCGGAAATGGATTTGAATGTCACATCTTCGGAACTTAGATGAAATGCCGGCCCAGCTGTCAACAGACCTACTCGAAGCTTCCTGAAGCGCTCCACTGTAGAGAGGCACTGCGGATCGAGTTTAGCGGGTTCGCCACGAAGTCCTTTCAGAAGGTCAGCGTCACCCACATGCCGCAAGGATCGAGCATGCATGGCCTCGTTTTGAGATGTCGAGCTTGGGGTAGTGCTGTAGACCCTTAAGCTGGGGTTCGTTTCGGACATCTGCAAGGCAAAACCCTCGGATCGAGTTGGCGCAAGTTCTGGACTGCCAGTAGCTGCAGCAAAGGCTTTCACATCCACTGTAATGCCATCGATTTGATCCGCTTAAGAGCTTGCGAGACACTGGTCTGTTCGGCAAAGGCAATCTCGAAGCCTAAACTGGTGTTCGGCGCTGCACTTCAGGATGCGCTGTGCAGAAGAACAGCAAGGACCCCATCCCCTATTTCAACTCGAACGCCAACAACATACCGGCAGGCATGGAGAATGCGGGGGGGGGGGGGGCTTGTTGGCCTCGAGAATTTCCAAGGACCTTTGTCGTCCCAGGTTTCGGACATTTGGATTTGGAGGAGGACCCTCTGAAACCCTAGAGCCTAGACTGGGCAAAGAGTAGCCGCCACTGTCCATAGCTCCAAAGCACAAAGGCGCCTGGCCTCCGCCAATCTCAGGTGGTTGGTATCCTATTTGCAGGCCCGCACGCTATTACGTGGCACCCTTTGGGGAGACGAGGTGCCCCGTGGGCCACGAGATCCGCACTGCAGAAGAGTGCCGTGACCGCACTGACACTGGATTCAGTAGATGCGGTGTTGATGCAAGAAACATACCTGCGACGTGGTCAGTGAGCACTTTTTAATGCTTTGTGCGTCGGCAGCGCCACGCTTGAGCGAAGAAGCCCCAAAACAAGCCCTCCGATGCCAGAACCTGGAATATTGAAGCGGGGTGATGCTCTACCACTCTAGGTGCCTGCGCGCTCACAACGCGATGAGGGCCGAGATCACGAGGACTCGCAACTTGATCGAGCCTCCGTGCTGCAGCCGTGCTCTGCCATGTTGCCGCAGCCTCGAGGACTGTCGGCTTCTGGCGCAGCGAAGGCTTGCTGGCCGGGTATTGGCAGAACAACCCGGCTTGGTGCAGCACCGGGGCAGGACCAGACACCAGCCTGCAGCTCGGTTACGAAGGCCGGTATACCAGAGCCTTTGTGTTGACTTCTTTCAACAGGACGCGGATGCTGTCCGAGCTGTCACGTCAAGAGCAAGTGCCTTCCGCTGCTTTCGAGCAAGGTATTTCAACTGCCGGATGTCGGCAGACGGCCTGAGCACAGTCGACACACTTCCCTACGAGCCGAACCCCAGGCACAAGCCGCTGTGCAAGGTCGCTTTACCGGCAATAGTAACCCACGCACTTTGGAACTGCGTTCAAGGATATGTCGGTGCTGCACCTGCTGCTCCCAACACGAGAACCGCTTCCGTTCGTTCTCGTTGTTGCTGAAATTGCTACAGCGCTTGCAGCTGCGCTTGCTGTTGCCAGTAATTATCGCTGCGGTAGCTGTCTTTGAGGGCTGCATTGCCAGTGGTGCTGCGACCTGAAGTAGGTTTACCAGCAAGGACAGGACTCGACCAGGGTACAGGAACATTTCGGCTACCACACTTCAGTCGTGATTTTGCTGGAACAGGCAGAGGAGGCAGGAGCAATTTCGCGGATGAAGCTTCGAGCCTCATATTTGAGGCAGAGATGTGTAAGAGGTCCCGTTCGGTAAGGAATTTGGTGTCTTCTCTCGCAGCGCAAAACTTGTGGGTTGTCAGTGCGAACGGCTTTGTCCCGCGCGAGGTGTGACCAGGAGCACAGTTTTATCAACACAGCTCCTGAAATTGAAATTGAAGCTAGCAGCGTTGGAACAAAGGTTACGAACGACAAGGCGGAACATTGGATGCCGTTCAGGAGCTTTTGCCCTTGGGTGCCCGAACTTGGCGGTGTTATCAGTGATCACAGCTAGGCGAAGTTCTTGACCGGCCTAGCCCGGTCTCGTACCCGCGGCCTCCCGTACACCAATGCCTCATTTCGGGATGCAAGGTGTTTTTCTCTCCGTGTTTTTGTTAGACCACGCGGCATAGGGCAGTAGGGCCTTACGTCACAGAAGTGTTCTCAGCAGAAGTTTTCATGCAGTCCTAACCATCACAGCCGGCGAACCCTGCCGCATCTACAACTCTTGCTCGAAGTGTGGCTGGCCGTGGGGGAACAGTCAAGAGCTTCTTCAGAGTCATGGCGACCGCAGCATCTGCCACATGGCTTGCAAGAGCAGCCGGCTGCCAGAACGTGGTTTGCTCAAGCGCAACCGGCTTTCTTCGCCTCTGCACCAGCTCTTGCCCACTCTGCCACGGGCCATTTGGGAAAGATGACGGCACTTTGCGAACCATGTGGCGCAGTTGAGTTTTGGGCAGAGTGTGCTTTGTGCACTCAAGTGTGGCAAAGCTTGCTGTGCTCCAATAAACCTGGTCAAGCGACAGTTTCTCTTGATCTGATTCACCACAGGATCAGATCCAAATGCGCATTTTATGTGCTTGGCCGACGTTATAGTCCGCCATACGCGCCGACACGTTCTTCTAACTTGTACAGTGGCGTGTAGTATATATCTACAGGTTCTCTGAAGTCGCACGAGCAGTCTCACGATGAGAGGATGAAGCGCTAAGCTATGAAGTTGCGCAGACGACTGCACCCAAGCCACGCACGAAAGGCAAGAAACGGGACGGGGGCCGACTCCGACGGAGCCGGCTGCGGCTTTGAAAGGCGCGAGCTCAGCTAGCCGGCAGCTGGCGGCTCAGCTGGCGGCGGCCTTGGTGATGTGACGTGAAGCGCAGCGCAGCTGAAGCGTGGTGTCGGAATCGCAACTCGGCGCGGGGGGGGCGGTCGCCATCACCAGGACTTCCTCCGCCGTGGCCTTTGGCCTGCTAGCTCTTGGGCGTTGCTTGGCATTGAGCTGCAAGCTGAGGGCCCTGCCTGTGATCAACCACCGCGTACTTTCCTGTACTTGCAGTTCCGTTTTGTGGCACCGCCAGAGAAGCTTCGGCTGCTGACATGTGAGAAGCAAGTGAAAAGAGACAGTAACGACGGTGACCTTGGACCTCCCACTTGTCACTTGCTGCTGTCTTGCAGCACGGGACTTCCTGCTTTGAAAGCGGTTTTTAGCCCACGCGCCGGTTCACATTTGGATGGCATTCCCGGTTCAGACTTTGCCTGAAAAACAGGGCACTTGGGTGTTGGGTACAAGGATTCTTGTTCATTGTCGCACAGCTTTCGGATGGCACAAGCTTTCAACTTTGAACCGAACTGGCACATCTGCAGTTCGTGCGTGCGGCCTTTCAATTTTCATCCCACTGCTGTTCTTGCGGTTATATGCATTTGTCGCTGTCAGCTTGAGTTCGCTTCTGCGTTTTGGTTGACTGCCGCCACGCATGCTGCACGATACTCTGCGAAGCTTTCTGTGGCCTGTCAAATTCACCAAGGTCCGTGTGGAAAGCGAGCCGCAAGAGACAAACAGTTGCGTTGTGCCCGACACTGGCCCAACGTGCCTTGGACTGGACTGGCAAAAAAGCCCTGAAGCCAGGAGCATGTCAACTTTTGACATCTGTTTGACATGCAAGAGCCGGAAGAGGTGGAAGTTGTGGGAACGGCCTCTGGCTTCGTCGCATGCACTCCTTTGTGTATGACTGTTTATGCATCGCCGGATTTCCATGTGTTTTGCTCTCTTTGCCAGAACAATGCAGGTACAGGATGCTGCTGTGGAGGCCCGGATGGAGTAATGATCGACGGTGGTGCGTCAAGCCCACAGCTTTTCGGCACAGAATTCTGGTGCAGTTGCGGCACGATTTGTACAGGCATAAACACCCGCAGCTATTCAGCCCGAGAATTCCTCAATCCAAGGTGACCTTCAACCCAGCAGCGGTGGAATGGGGAGTCCAAGACGTGGTGGTGACCTGTTGCGATCCGCAGCAAACCCCCGTGTGGTACTTTCCCACTCGTGCGCCGGGCGACTGCATCCGAGGGAGGACTGTTCACATAAGCACGCAACGCACGCAGAAGGGACTTGTCACCTTGGGCATAATAATATGAATTGAAAATGAAATCAGAGAACTGCGCGCCTGTGGGGGTGGAGGATGGAGAGTCTTCCTGCAAACACCTGCGGCGAGGACTTGGACTGAGGCAAAGTACTATTGCGAGTCCATCGGCGAGCGGCTTTGCAATGAAGATGAGGCACCCGACACATACACCATTTGGAGCAAGTGCAACAGGAGCCACGATGCGACTTGGCTGAGCCACCAATGCTAAACTCGGCCCCAGGGCCATTTTCCGCAGTCTTCAGATTGCGCGCTCTGCTGTGATCGCGGAGGGCAACCTGCCTTTCCGAAACACGGCAAGCCTCGTGTGTGTTGACCTGTCGGAAAAGCCATGTCACACAGGTTACCTGCTAGAAACAGCCAGCAAAGAGAAGAACACGTCCTCGATGCAGCAAAGGCCGATGGTGGGACTGGGCTCCCAGCCCCGCAATGGCCCAGCCCCGAAATGGCCGATAGACAGTGTGACATCCATGTGACATGGTGGCGGGTTTTCACCCCGACTCACGGGCTTTTGCGGACGCTGCGGGCTTTTAATGTATAGTTCAAAACGCGTTTGGAACGGCTGCAACCTTTGCATCGGATCAGTAGGCGATACCGGGGAGTCTGCCAGGACACGCTCGAGCACGGTTTCCACGAACCGCGGCAGATCAGGTTTTGTTGGGCGAAGGCACTTCGGGACCTCGGGAGAGGGAGGAGCAGAGGAGCATCATGAGCACACCACACAGTGTATCAACGAAAGAGCCCTTTGATGGAACATCAGACTTCGCCGTGACTTCGCCGAGACTTCAGACCGGCATTGCTCCTCAAGGTTCTTCAAGCAGCAAGGCGCCAAGCGCCAAGTCTTTAAGTTTATTGTCTGGAGAAGAAGGCTTCGAGCTAATTGAGCCGTCTTCTCATACCCATTTTTCAACAGAATAGGAGTCGCACAGGGCCGACTTATAGCTGCCCGTAGAAAAAAGCGAGGATCCCGAAGGATCGAATCCGAGCCTCGCTGGCGCTTTCCTGCTGTTTGCTTCCCCCGAAACTCCTTGGCATCTGAAATGTGAGGTTGGACTTCGTCGCTGTGTCCCGCAGTGTTGTGGCTCTCTGTATCGGCAGCCCAGGCCGCCTCGAGCCGCCTCGAGCCGCCAGCGAGTCAAAGAGTTGACGACTTGACTCTAGGTTCTAGCAGAGTTGTCGAGGTTCGCCCACATTGATAATCGACAGCTGCACGAGCTGCAAGCGGCGATGGGGGACATGGATGCCCGATGAAAGAAGGCGTCTGCTTGATTTGTGTTTGCTGCAATGCCTCTATCTCCCATGCTGACTGCGCCGCACGGTTGCACGCAGTCCAGCACCCAGGGAGCTTGTCAATGCCATGACACTCGTGAGCGTTTTCGGCCCGCAGAAGTGCATGTTACGCACGCCGACAAGGCACCAGACTTGTCGCTGAGCTGGGTCTAGAGAAACCTGCTACCACCTTCATCGAGCATATTCTCAGCACATCATAGCAGATTCTCGTGCTCGATATGCTGTACAGGGTCGCACCCTCATATTCTCGATGCCAAGCCATATAGGTTAACTTCGAAGGCCATGTGGTGTATACAGGAAAACAAATGCATGCATCCGTAACCTGGCCTGGTATGGCTATGTGATCAGGTAGTATGGGGTTCCCAAGGTGGGACAAGACTTTGCCTTATCGAGCATGGAGAGTGTGCTGCTGTCCTGGGCAGGTGCGATTGCCACATCAACACAGCAGGAAGTTGCTGCTTCTTTTTCTTGGATGGTATCGTCAGTTCGTGTGATTCTATTTTTGGCGCTGTGATGCTTCCATCTGGATTTTGTTTTTCAAGTTTTGTGCCTAGAGGGAGGGGGACAGGAAGAAAGAGAGACAGAGACGCAGAGACACAGAGACGCAGAGACGCGGAGACCCAGAGACAAAGAGACACAGAGGCACAGAGAGACAGAGAGACAGAGACAGAGAGACAGAGAGACAGAATGAGACAGAATGAGACAGAATGAGACAGAATGAGACAGAATGAGACAGAATGAGACAGAGACAGAGAGACAGAAACAGAGGCAGAGACAGAGGCAGAGGCAGAGACAGAGACAGAGACGCAGAGAGAGAGAGAGAGAGTGAGTCAGTCAGAGAGACGAGTTTGTCTTTTTTCTATCACCTGAACCGTTTAATCTAAACCAAAAAACTTAAACTGTAATTCGTTAACCCGGAGTCCTTCTGAAACGTAAGTCGTTTATTACTGCCACGGCACACTTCATGTAACAGTGCTTGTTTATTCTAAAGCACGCTCATTTTTTGAATCTTGACTTTCTGCTTCAGACTTAATCAAAGGTGTTTGTCTCATATGTAGAATTCCTGGCCTCAGCTGCCTGCAGCTGCGTTAGAAGGGGTGTGAGGAGGACAAGGCGCGCGACATTGCGAGCGTTCTTGCTGGCCAGGCGAAAAAAACTGCGCTGCCTCGCGAACGATCGAAGTATGAGCCTCATTTGTTTCCCAGTCGGCATCACGCCAGCAGTGCTCCTTGGAGAGATGCAGCTATTCCCCAAAGTACAGCCTCTCAGCAAGACCCTGTTCTCCGGGCCCTACATTTGGACGGGCCGAAGAAGGCTACTGAGGGCATCTCAGGACAGTACCCTCAGCATTAAGGCCTTTACTTTTTGCTTCCATCTTGGTATGCGAGGTATCGCCTACTAACTACCCGCAGAGTGCATCATGCCATCGGGTGCAAAAAGCAGCTGGCGGCAGGCCATTGTCGTTGCACGATCTTCCATGTGCTGGAGAGCAATGCAGCAACGCCATCATGAACCATCTTGCACCGCTTGCCAGGCGCCTGAAAACGACTTGGAGTCTGGAGACCATCCGGACAAAACCAGTCCAAGGCTTAGCTCGACAGATCTCGCCAGGCTCCCGGCAGCGGCAACATTGTTTGCTGCACACGGTGCAGGGCCGCAGAGCTGTGCGAGACTGACAGTGCTTCCTGCCAAGGCTAGCGGGATCAAGAGCTGCGAACGGCGTGGAGACGCGCACAACTCAGAGCATTTTGCCAGCTGATGAGAAGCTCCTGGCCAACAGCTGCCAACAGATTTGCGTACAATCATTGCAGCATCATAGAGAAAAACAAGTCAGAGCCCTGTGCAGTGCCGTTGGCTTTCCATTTGCACCAGCGGCTCGTCATTGACTTCGGCTGAGGCGCTTGTTTTTCACCTCAATCTTCTCGAGGCTAGGCTTAGCCGCTTAGCCCGTACTCCTGCAAGGGTCTCGAGTCTCGAGTCTCAGAACAGTTCCTGAGGGTGTGGTTCTCACAACAAGGCCGTGCGTAAAGTCTAATTTCGGCAGTGCCTGAAGATGTCTTCTCTAGTGTGAGCAGTGCAATGTGAACAATGCTTCAAGTCAGCTTGCGGAGACCCTACACACCGCCCCATAGTAACTTGGTTGGCAAACCGCTTGCAAATCGTTGCCCAACCATGTTTGTCAGGCCAAGAAGGTGACGGGCCATGCATACGAGCTACCGTTCCCTCGCTACATAGTGGCGGCTGGCGACCCAGGAGTCCTTGATTAGCAGCGCCTTACGGAGATTCACTTGAGTCGGCCATGGGTGCGTCCGAAGCAAGACCAGTCGGAACTGATCGGAACTGCAAGCTGCCGGGTTGCAAGGACGAATCAGGGAGCTGGCGAAAAACTCGCTCCACGCAGAGGACTCAGGTTTTGCTGCGTGTCGATGATTCGATGGGCTGGCCAGGCGCCAGCGTTTCAACGCATCGCCGAAATCATTCACCACGCATGCTGTGGGAATTTTCTGCAATTCTATAAATGCAGCCATCTGCAACGGGTCAAGATGATGTGCAGTCAGCATAACGATGTTGAATGGTCCTATCATTCGCTGCAGTGTCATTTCTGAGTGCAGCACGCGGTTTTTCGTGATGCGACGCGGCGTTGCCTTCCGTCAACCGAGCCTCGGCAGCCTGCCGAGGCTCCAGCTGTTCCACGTGGACGAGAAGGAGTTCTTCCATCCATTGGGTGCGAAGCCCGATTTGGAGGGCTTTGCTGCAAATGACCTCAAGGCCAATGTCTAGAGTCACGTCGGGTCCCGATCAACCGCATCAGTTCGCCTGCAGATTCAGAGGAAGGCCTTCTCTCACTGTACCTGCCGCTTCTCAGGACCAGCCCACACCAAGCATGTGGACATAGCTGAGAAGGGCGACGGCGCCTTCAGCCACTGGCGCCGAAAGCCAAGTCCTACCGCCGGCAATCAAAAGTCTCATAGGAAATTCCTGGTCATGAGAGTTCCCAAGGTCACCCAATCACCTCGGGCCCTTGGTGCAAGTCACAGCTTCGCTTCTCGACGCGATGGGCTTGGACTGGCGTGCAAACGGGCATGAACCTGCTGCCTTCGCAGCTACTGCCCCCTTTTGTGCTTTGAGGGATCGATCATGTGGACGTACGACATGAACACCTGCCGGTGTTGACAGCTGGATTAAAAAGCTTCAGGCCAAAGAACACGCCTCTGAAGAAGATCAGGGCTATGGCATTTTTCTCAGCTTTGCCGGCTGGTGCAGCTATCGCTTTAGGCTGGTTGTTTCAGCATTGGCCTCAGCGTAGGTTGCCGTGGTGTTTCCCATGGCTCCACCATTTGGATGGATCGAGCTAGGAGCTCAATGTGTCTCAAAGTTGTGGCCATGGTAATCATTATAGTCTGTTGGTATCTGTATTGGTGTGAAAGACCTACAATGCATATGGGCTTGGTGTGCTTGGTATGCTTGATGTCATGGCACGGGGCAGGTTCAACCGGGGCAAGCGCGTCGTGCACCAGGACGTCTGTCAATACTGAAGAGCTCCCCCTGCCAGATGTTCTAGCTTCATCCACAGGAGTTTTTCCGGGAGCTGTTCCTGCAGACTTTTCCTGCAGCCGGTGTTGCAAGGCTCGACTTCTTAGGATTTTGCAGGGCCCTCAGCGAGAGCCAAGATGAGCGCTCCACACGCATGCAGGCCGCACCTCATTGATGACGCTGTCGATACGATACCGGACACGAGGTTCCGTGCTCAATTCTTCTTGCTGCGTGTGACAGTAGTGGTGGTGCTGTCATTTGACCTGGCCTCTGTCCTCCTCAGTAAACGGACCAAACGTAGTTTTAAACGCTTCGCGCCATCCGCCTTGGCCCTGCCTATGTGTTGCTTCGCGGGTGCGGGGATCGGTCGGCCCACTGCAGCCGCGATGTTCAAGAGCCCGACGTAGGAAGTGGATAGGGCTCGTTTGCTCAGTGAAGGCGCGGCGGCGAGGCAAGCGGGTCTGTTGTCGGGACATGTTTCAATGGCATTCAAAGCAGGCCTTCTCCGGCAACGGCTGAGGGACGCATCCGGCAACTCCCACCGCCTCGATCACCGGGAAACGAAAGTGGCCAGGGAAACGTTGAACACGTAGGCACACAGTGGTAAAATGCCTGCAGGTTCCTGGGATATACGAAGAAAACGCGTCAACAAGTGCTTGAAATCTTCACCTGGTGCCCCGCTGCAGCCATGCTGCACCCTTGCATTTTCGTATGTATTTTGTAATTGCACGAGGTTGATTGTGAACGACAGAAATTTCGACGGGGAGCACTACAGCCTGATGCGCCAACCTTATGGGTTGACAATTGCGTGAGCGAGACTTTGCAGCGTCGCGCCTTCTTCCCGGGGGCAGCACTTGAGGACCAACAATTGCAACCACTGGTTGGTCTTCTTTCTTCGAAATGAGCCTCTTGCATGACATATACCACGCGTCCACCAGGGATTCCCAGAAAAGCTTGTATCGGATCCGAGGCACATTCCCGCGGACATATACAAGCAACCTCAGCTGGCGCAGTGCCCAGTCTCAGTATCCCCCAAAGAGTACTGGAATTGGTACTGCAAACACCGGTCATGCCGAGGTGCCACATCTCACTGCTTTGCGCAAGTCTGCCCGTGTTTGAGGTGACTCGAAGCTTGCGAGGTCGAGCTCTTTGCTACCTGCTAGGTTTGCACTGCTGACGCCACCTGCCCAGGGCTCAGAACGCAACAGTTGAGATGAATCCCGTGGGCCTTTGAGGGCTTGCTCAAGCATCTTTGCAGTGGTTGGCAGGCTCCCAATTGTAGACCCCTAGTAGGAGGATTCATGTCTAAATCCGATACACATCATGTGAATCATGTGCCTGTATGGTGCCGAAAAATGGCGTCACAAGCCACAGGAGGCCGCGAGCAGTGACTAATGGCTGAAGCTGCCACACACAAATCAGCGTACTCGAAAGGAGTTGAGGTGCCGTTGTTGTTGCCTCTAAGGTTGAGGCCCTGGCCGAGAAGTGCCTGGAGCGTTTGGAAGCTTTGAGCGTCCAAGCCTTCGAGCCCTGCCTGTCGCCACGAACTCTGAGGCCACGTCCCGTATCCAGGCTGCATCGAAAAGAGTGCTGTCCCCGTGCTGGGTCAGGGATGCTGACTTGAAGACGCTGCCTGCGGCTGAAGACCCGTTCGACAAGGCGCTGTTGCCCTTTGGCCGACGCTTCGGGTGTGTTCCGTACACGGCACAGGAGCCATGGCACCCCGCTTTCTCCAGCTTGCAGCAGTACCTCGACAAGGCGCACAGGAAGTCACGAAGCCATAACCAGCGGTGTTCTGCCGTATTTGCAGCCTGAAAAATATGAGAATGAGAGAATGGGAGGCATCGCCAGCTGCTCCCGCCTTCGCCTCGTTGCTGCCCTGGCCAGCCCTGTCCTGGGCACAAAGTGGCCCCAAAGTGGCCCCAAAGCACCCCGACGCCGGGATTCGCCGATTGCCAGGCGGGAGGCAAAAAATGAGAGAAAAACAACTTGCAGTCCTGGCTTGGGAGCGATGTGCAGCGTCACCTGCAGGCCTAGAGTTTCAGACCATGGTATTGTATATGGTACGGTATGCTTCCATCAGTTCGGGGAAGATTTATGTGCAATCGCCGACTGTAAGCCGCCTTGCGCGATATGTGAGTAGGGTTTTGCGTGCCTCCACGGATGGTGGACCAGTGGATGCGCTCGTAGATTGCCAGTCAAAGCACGTCAAGCCTGCCATGGATGAAGTTTGAACCTGAGCAGGGTGATTAGCTAGCGTGCTACACAGCAAGAGCAAGCTGAAGGCTCAGCCGGCGACCCTGGAAAAGCTTAAAGACTTCATTTCACCTGTCCGCTGCCCACCTGTCAAAGCCTTTTCTGCGTTGATCAGGTGTGTAGAGAATTTAAAAAACCCATTGCAGAGGGCACGAAAACCAGTTCACAGCAAATCGGCTAAAATGTGATGCTGATCCTGGCTAATGTTTCTGTTCGTGGCGGGGAGCTTCAGTTTTGGCGCCTCGCTAGCAACATCAAGACGTCTGGTCATACAAGATTGGGTCATATCAAGACACATAGGGTCCTTGCGAAAACATGCTCGGCATCTCCTTTTGCTTCGTAAGGGAGGTTAAGAGTTGCAATTATGGCGCATAGCACCCTTGCAGAACAATGCACAGCATCACTCTTTCTGCAGGGTTCTGCAGGATCTTTTCTGCTATTGAACCCTAGCGCAAAAACATCTCACATAGCCTCTGCATGCAATCCTCCGGTCTGCCCATGTGCCGAAAAAATCTCGCGGTCAGGCTCGGGCCTGGGCAGGGTTGGCTTGAGCCACTATGTGCAAGATGCCGCAGGGAACGTTCTGCCAATTGGAAAAGCACAGCTGTGACATCAGAGACAAACGACCGCTCCAGAGTAAGGAGGCCGGATGTGGCATGTGATGGGCAGGCCCCCATGTCACGGGTCCTATTAACTAAGGTAAAACTGCATGGGAACAGGATCCATGCGGTCGGGTGTCTGGAATATTGATAGATTGGACCTCCCTTCGACTCAAAATGTCTTGGCCCTGCCAAGCTCAAGAGCAGAGTATTCCCTTGGCCAGGCGAAGGTGTACTGTTACATGTACGACATGAGCCATGGCCTCGCCAAGAAGTATTCCTGGCTTTTCCTGGGCCAGCACTTCGAGGCTTGGGCTTGTCAGCACCTGCGGATGCTGCATGATGAATCGTTTGGGCAGCCGAATAGCTCGTGGCCATCAAGTTTGCTCCAGGCTTGTGCGCAAAATTCTGCGCGCTGAAGGGCTTGTGCGCACGCGGCCTTGGAGGCGTCAGACCGTCGAGAGTTCAAAGTTTTGGGGTGGGCGGTCTTGCACTTAGGCTTTGGATGGTTTCAAGGTTTGGGCTTGAGCGTCGGGCTTTAATTTATACTCCTAGAATCCTAACCGAAACCCTTCATCCTGGCCGTGAAAACTCTTTCGGATTGAACGTCCCTGAACCCGGAATTCCCACCTTGCACCTTCAGCCCTCAATCCGGCAACCGAAGTCCTGAACCCAGCAGCTCGCAGCCCTCATCACACAACTTAGTCTTTAAACCGTGAGTTTCCTTAATCCATCTTAATCCCCAACCTGAAACCCGAAGCCCACGGGGACGTGGGCATGTACGGGTTAGTGTCTTGCTCCCTGCACGTGCTGTGCAACATCCGCCCGGATTGCGAAGCCGCTTTGTTTCATCTGAACGCTGCTGATCAGCATCCTCCCCAGTGACTTTGCCAGACGCTCAGCAACAACACCTCAAGTCATTATGTCCATACTGGTCCAAATTTGCATGAAAGCCAAACCACTTTAAATGCCTCCAAGAGCTTGTTACACGGTTCGCTCTTCCATTCTTCTGCTTGCTGACGAACAAAATCCTGCGGCTGCATGTTCGAGGATTCAGTGCATGTGTATCACAATAATTGTTTAGGGCGGTTCCTCCTCCATCTGGCAAGATTCGTTTAAGCATTCTTGAACTCATGGCCCGCGCCTGTGACGCGACGGCAGAAGGCGCCAAATATCTCGCAAATGAGTAAAGTAAAGCCGCTACACCCCATTCATATGGGTCGTGGCAGTTGGGCAATCAATAAGTAAATCACACCCAGTTCCGCAACGGAAAACCGCACTCGGCTAGCAGACAGCAGACAGGCAGGAACGATTTCCAAGGAACGCTGCCAGCATGGTTACTTGTGTTTGCGTTTGCTCGAAGAGGCTTCGATAGGATTCTGGGCAAGCGCGATGCAGGAAGTCAGTGCGATCTACAATTGCCGGAACAGTGCATCTCTCACGCTAGCCTCTCCCCCGCTCTCGCATGGCAACATCCATCCTGGCCTCGTGAGAGGTAAGTGAGTGCCAGGCAGACGGTCATGAAGTCAATTCGTGCTGTCTCCGCCAGGAGAACTATGAACCCGCAAGTAAGGTTTATAGCGGTGGTGGAGGGGGCTGAAAGCCTTATTATCCTTATTCTGCCCTATGTAAAGTCAAGCAATGTGCGTGCCATGGTTTCTTTTCAAGCATAGGATGCTGTCGTGTCCATCATGTCTTGTGGTTTGCAGCAAGCTGTCGCATGTGTTGTCTCTCATTGCGTTAATGTGGTCTTGGAGTGATTTGAGTTGTGATTTCCAGGCGGAAATTTGGCATGGATTCTTTGGATAAATTCATTAATTGTCGGAATTATAATAAATAAGTTAAGCTCTAGTCGTTATCTATCTCGTCGTGAATAATAATTCTATTTAGATTATTAATAAGATAGATTTAGATACTCTTATATTTGTAGATTATTATATAGTTCATCTCTTTCTTTATTAATTAAACGAAGTCGGAAATTTGGAATATAACTGATAAGGGATTGAAGGATTCGGAATGGCCGCAAGATTAGGAAAGTTCTCGAAATTTAGCCTATTTATATGGAAAGCTCCGTCGGATTATTTCTATTTATGATATTACGCTAACTAATAATTTATACGGTAGGTCGCGATATTGCGACTAGTAGAGAAAATATTATTCTCAAATTTCCATAGTATACATATCTTATTTAATTTATTTATAGCGATTCGCAAATGCTAATATGCTTCGAGAACCGGGTGCTAAGATGAACGAAATGCTATTAATATCTTCTCTAAATCTTAGGAATAAATATCATTTGTTTTAATTTAACGTCTAATAAAGCATATACAGGAATATCATGAATTTTAATTTTCTCTCGTAAATCATAAGAGGAAGCGAGATATGATTTAGTATCTTTTTAGTCGGTTTATGCATAGATAGGATTTATTGCAATATTTTATTTAATAAGTCTTATAAGGCAAAAAAATATTTTTTTTAATAATATATATTTTTTTAAGGTTCTCGCCATAGGGTTTAGGAGAAGATAGGATTTATTTAATATCTTATCTAATATTTTTTATCTAATTTCATTCCGAAGGATTTTCAAAAGAGGCTATATCTCAGTGCTCCGCCTAATAAATCTTATAAACAAATAGGATTTATTTTTCTTCTCTATCCGTAAGATTTATGATTTTATATAATTCGTTGCAATTTCCTATCTTAAATTCTTATAAAAAAATAAGATACATTTAATATCTCATCTGAGAGTTTTTCTTTAAAATCTCATCTAATAAATTATTCAAAAAAGATAGAAATCGCTTTAATATCTCTCCCGCAGATTTTATGACTAGGCAGGATTTGCTTCAATATTTCGTCTAATAAGTCGTTCAAAGAAGTAGGATTTGTATTAATGATCCGCCTATAGGTCATAGGAGTAGATAGAATTTGATCTGATATTTTATTTGATAAGTCTTATAAGTAAGCAGCTTTTACTTTAATACCTCATATGTAATCATTGGGAACGGATAGGATTCATTTTAATATCTTCGTCGATTAGTCGAATAATAAGATAAGATTTGACTTAATCTCCCATCTATATTTCTTATGAATAGATGGGTTCATTTTAATATCTCAGGTAATATATCGTATAAGGAAACAGGACTTATTTTAATATCGTATAGATCTGGCGAGTAGGTAGGACTAGCTTTAATTTTCTATCAAATAGATTATTATCAGAAGCAGAATTTTATTAATATTCTATTCGAAGAATTCGTGAGCAGATAAAAATT